ATTCTTTCATCTATGTCATTGATGTAAACCAAAAAGAGTAAAGGTCCTCAGACTGTGCCCTGAAGTAACTAACTTGTGACATTAATCCAGTTTGACTGAACTCCATGTATAACAACCCTTTGCTTTCTTCCAATCAGTCACTCTTTTATCGAATTTGCTAACTTATCCCCCAAACCTATAGAAATATTTTTACAAGCCTTTTATGTGGCACCTTGTCAAATCCTTTCTGAAAATGCAGATACACCAAATCTACACTCTTACCCTCATCTACATAAGCAGCAACCTTTACAAAGGATGTCGAAAGATTTGTAAGGTAAGGTTTTGTCTTAGTGAAATCATGTTGACTATCCAATAAAATTCTAAATTTGTTAAATGACTTTGCAAAGCATCTTTTATCCCACTTTCAAAAAATTCCCACAACTTTTATGAACTCACTTGAAAAAAGGAGTTACATTAACTAACTTTCAATTTTCTGGTACCTGCTCACTATTCAAGGACGTACAAAAATAATAGCAAGTGTGTCACCTCATTTAAAACCATTGGAGAAATATTATCTGGCCCAGGAGCCTTATCATTCTTTAAACTTCCCACTTTTTTCTTAAACAGCTCAGAATTAATACAGTCATCTTGTTCGATCTTGTTTCCATCTATCAACTGTTCAATATTTGGAATACTGCTTAAATATTCGTTAATAAAAACCGATGAAAAGGCAAACTTTAGTAACCCAACCATCTCATAATCATCAGATACGAACCTTCCTTTATCATCCCTCAAGGGTCCTATCCTCATCCTAACAGTTTGTTTACCCTTTATGTATTAAAAATATCCTTACTGTTAACTTTTACATTTTCAGCCAACTTCTTCTCATACATCCTTTCTAATGTCCCAATTTCCTGTCTCATTAACTTTCTTGATCTTCTATAATCTTCTAAATCTCCCGTCATACCAGTCAATTTAAATTTCTTAAACTTATGATACTTTTCTTTAATTTTATCTCTAATACTCTTTGTGAGCCAACCTGGTTTTTTACTTGCAGCTACCCTTTTCTTTCAATAATGAATATGTTTACCTTGAATATTTAAAACTATATCTAATTACCTATAGTGATTGTTGGTTTGCGACCTGGCGGGGCTATTGATTAGGGCTCTTGACTTGCAATCTGCGGGTTGTGGGTTCGAATCTAGTCACCGAGCATGTTCGCTCTTTCAGCTGTGGGAGAGTTATAATGTGCCGGTCAAGCCTATCTTTGGTTTTAAAAGAGTAGCCCAAGAGTTGGCAGTGGGTGGTGTTGACTAGCTGCGTTCCATCTTGTCTACAGCTTCTAAATTAGGGATGGCTGGATAGTTCTCGCGTAGCTTTGCGTGAAGTTTAACAAAAAACAAAAATTGCCAGATTGATTTTTAGTTTCGCTCCAAGTACATTCATTACCACACATACACTATCCTACCAAAAGTCATGGGACACGGGTAGTTTGAATAAATCATGTCTTTATTCCAATAAATTAATAGTGAGTTGGCCCGCATTTGGCCTTAACGACTGTTTCAATGCGTTATAGAAGACTGTCTACTAATTTTTGGTAGGAACTGGTGGTATTGTGCTCCACTTCTCCTTTAAAGCATTAGTAAGCTCTACCACTGAAGAAGGCCATCTTGGCCTCACCCTAATTCTGCATTCTAATTCATCTCAAAGATGTTCTATCGGGTTGAGTTCGGGGCTCTGTGCTGGCCACTGCAATGTTCCGATTTTATTATTTTTAAACCACGCGTTCACAATCATTGCTTTGTGACATGGAGCGTTATCATGTTAAAACGTGTAAGGACCGGTCCCATAAAATTGCCACAATGTAGGACACATAGAATTGTTCAGAACATCAATCTAGGACTCAGCATTCATAGATTCATGAACAGCGACCAGTGGACCTAATCCATACCACGAGAAGCACCCCAAGACCATGATATCGTCACCTCCAAACTTCACTGTTAGGGCAACACACTCAGGTAATAAGCATTCATCAGGTATCCTCCATACACAAACACGTCCATCAGACTGGTATAGCGTGTAGCGTGACTCGTCGCTCCACAGGACCGATTTCTATTGATCCACAGTCCAGGTTCGGTGTGTCTTGCCCCATGCCAATCGACGGGGTGGATTTATTATCAACGGCTTGTGGGCTGCAGTTCTTCCGCGTCGGCTTCTGTCAGTCAGTATTTTACGCCTAAATGGTCGTTTCTTGGGCTCATTGTCACCTGTGGACCTTCATTTCCTCAGAACCTTGCCAATTGTCGACGTGGGAATGTTTAATTTTTACCTCTTTCCGTGTATTCATCGTTCGGCATACAAGTTCGAAAGGACTTCCGGGCGAACCGCTGATCACCTTTATAGGCCAAACTATTTGCACAATTCGTCGTCACATCCATTTTCCTGCAATTAGAGGTGTGTCCCATGACTTGTGGTAGGATATTGTACAATTGAAGTTAACAATAAATGTAAAATACCATTGTTTCTAGTAGGTTCTTTGACTAATTGATGAAGAAAGCCATCTTGAACAGTTCCCAAAAACCTTTCTTCCTCACGGTTTAACTCTAGCATTTCCTAATCTA